TTTGGGTATACCTCTTAAGCTTGTCCGAACGTTCAGGAATTTCAAACTGGAATTTTTGGTCAAATGGAATGCACCCAATAATTATATTACAATAAGTATAGTATTTTCCCCAACCCAGGGCCAATCAATCAAATCTATCTCCTTCTATTCCCCAACTAATCTAGCTTGTTACAGGCATTCGGATAATTGGGAGTGGCGAGGGGATTGGGCCCACTCTTCACGCTCTTGCGCCTACTCGTACCGCCTCTCATTATCTGAATGCCTGGAACAGGCTACAACATATCCCCCTGGTTGTCCCGGGGGTTGACCCCAGTGCCTAGCCGATGAATTTATAATTTCATATTGAAATTTATTACGTTGGTTAATTTTCATCTGATCAGTGGTCTTATTAATATAGTCAGTGAAAAGTCCAGCAACCACCTTTTGATAAATTTCAGGTCGTTTAATAATTCGGTTTATACAATTTATACAACACCACTGTCAACAAATAAGGATTTTTCAAGGCAGTATAGCCATAACTTTGTGCAACTTGATATATCCTTTACTTTATTATTGTAGAAATATCGATTTTTTTTTCTATCCAATTTTGCTATATAAGTCGTTCTACACTGTACGTTTCAAAAGCTTAATAAGCTTATATACATTCAATGAAAAATTGTACATAAAGACATAAGCTTGCTTATGTCTTTGAATACTACTAAGTAAGCTTATATTAAACACGCAGAAACAAATAAGCTTAGTTCACTTCATTAAAATATACAATATTCTCGTACTGCTTACTGTCCTTTGTCCTAAGTAGCGGCTTCCATCCACGAAGCAAGGGTCAAATACAGAGGCTGTCATGTACATGTAAAGCACCCAAAACCAAATAACAGACAGCTACATGGGTAGGTAAATAGCTGTATTCTTCGGAAATTCAAAGTCTTCCAGTCGTTCGTGGACTGAAAATCCAACGTAACCTCGTAACTGTAAGCCTTGTTAACTTCCCAAAATACTCAAAAACCGAAAAAAAAATCCTGAAAAGGTTGATTTCATCGACCTTTGATGAAAAAAGTTGAACAAGAACACAAGAAATGCCTCTTTCCAACATGGCGGATTTCTCTTGACTCTCCACGAAACGCGCAGTTGCTTTTACTTCCGGCGAAGGTCTATTGTTGAATCAGCCAATCAGATTCATTAGAATCACGTCCAAAATCTGGACGTGATTTCTAATTGGCAGACAATCTTTAGAAGAATTGTGTCAGGCCCATCTTTAGCGTGAGACCCGTAAAGAGAATGTAAGGCGCGCGAAAAATTGGCCTGATCGCAGGTTAGTCGAACCCAAGAATGTAGAATACGAGTAAGTTTTCCTTCCCGTTCCATGCGCGCGCAGCATTTTCCCGCCTCGCTCGATGATCTACAGGGATAATCAGGGACTGTTCGTAATGTGCCGGGCAACTTTCATACTGAGCCGCCGTGACTGAAAGGATCGACATCCGACATTTTAACTGAAAAATCGCGTCTCGGACACCAAAACACCTTACAGACATGCAGCTGACAAATGGTCATTAAATGTGGACTGACACAATAGGCCATTTTACAGTTCTGTGAAATGTAACCAAGCCTCTGTATGAAAGTGAGGTTTAGGGTGACCATGAGATGATAGAGATCAGAAACTAGTTTACATAATAACAGAATAATTTACATTTGAAAAGAAGGACGGTTTGTATCACAACAAAGTCAACCCCAGCCTCACTTCGGTTCAAAGGCCTGGATTCTAAGCACACAACTGTAAAATGGTCTATTGAAATTGAAAAAAACTGTGCAAACCCAAGAGGGCCAACGTAACTTGTGTATAGATCTCGAGAGCTCTTGCATTGATGATCGATCACTTCTAGCAGTCTCAAAGATCCTTATTTTCAACACGGTTAATGTTAGTTTATTTGCGAAGTTCGAGATTTTTGATGCAAATTTAGCTGTTATCAAACAATTTAACCATGCATTATTACCGATTCAAGTGCAAGAAAATATAATTATTTTTCAACTTTTTTGTATTTAGCTCCGGAATTTTACAACAAACAAAACAAAATTACAATAAAGTTAAATGACATTATAACAGTTTTAATTTCGTCCCGACTAGAAGTGTTACGCCGTGATTAGATGCTATAACGTTACGCCATAAATTTTATACGGCCACTTCAGTTCCGCTATAAAAGGGATGGCACCTCCTATTCCTCAGTTTACACCTTTCAGGTGCGTAATGCAAATTTAGTACTCTAATGCAGTCGTGCATGGCACGTTGTGGAGACAAGCGTCCTGTATAAAACTTAACAAGCTTCAAAGTCTCATGAAACCAAAATATACCATTAACAAAAATATATTGAAAATGCTTTCACAGAAAAATGCTTTTACTAAAAATAAAACATTTTATCATTAACGGTCGAAGGAAAAGCACAGCTTGTTTGTTAGCTGTCACGCGGCTTTTGTGGTTGATTGACAACTAGCTAGGTGTGGGAATGGCCAGGCAAGCCCCGTTTTTTCTCTCGAAACTTTTGTTTAGGGTTGCATCACTTTTCAATATGTCCCATGACCGTCAGTTATGTCACAAGTAAGCGGCCATTAATATATTCTCTGCAGCAGATTCTGGTGAAGAATGGTAAGTATAATTATATTATTTAATGACTGAATAATAAATTTCTACATTTTTATGCTGTTGTCAGAACATCAAGGCGAGGCTAAGAATATGGATCACACCTAGTTGACAATCAACCAATCAAAGCGTAAACAGCTGACAAACAACCAGTGCTCTTTTTTTCGACCGTTACTGATAAAATTTGTTGCATTTTTCTAAGAATGTTCCGTTAGCAATTTATATTTTTGTTAATGATATAGTTTGGTTTCATGAGATTTTGAGGCATGTTTTAGTTTGTAGGACGCTTGACTCAACAACGTGCCACGCCTGCAAGAGTAAAAATTTGCATTTCGCATCCTAACGGTGTGAGATCAGGGAGGTGCCATGCCTTCGGCGGAACTTCTTGTTTAATCACAACCTGAGAGGAGTAAGCTGTGGAAACTGAACAATGGGCCTCGCCACACCCACATGAGATGACACCAATGGGCCAATCTTGTCAACTTTTTTAAAGATGCCAAGATTTTATGTTGGAAGGTCTATGACGGTGCACAGTCTTTTGTTTTGTGCTCACACATTATGGTTGAATTACGTAACCGACACGTTTCTATTGGTTAGTTACTCGGTCACAACTAAAAAGCGAACAAAAACATGGAACAAAGAAATTTGTTGGGCTTCATAACCATTTTCCTTATCAACTTTGGTTGTAATAATATTTTACAAAACATTTTGAATTCTGCAGAGTGGATATAAAACAGGAAATGCAAGGAAGCCCTCCCATTCATATGTAACTGACACGGCGTCGCTTTTTTTCCCCCAAATTCTGTCATATTACAATGAAATCTCCAAGATAATTGGAGTTTAGTTTTCATTCTTCAATTAGCACTTTTTTGTCCTGAATTTTGGAGAATTCAGTGAGGTGCAGCAGATTTTAACTCGCACCTTTCAGGTGTTATCTTACATGGTATAAAACTCGGCTGTTGTAGCGTGGACAGAGCGTTTCAGTACTCAGTTTGACGGTGAAACAAGCCGGAAAGAGGAGAGAATTGAGCTGATCTGAGACGAACAACCCAAGAGCAATGAATAAACTGCTGAAAGTTCTACTGGTTCTGTCTGTGGCCAGTGTTATCAAAGCAGAAGAAAATAACTTCGATGAAGATGCATTTTCCAAAGAATTAATGCCCTTGGAGGATGTGGAGGAACTTTTCGACACCGAGGTAACACATTTTGTCTCGAAGATATCTTTCGGTGTTTCGTAGAGTACGTTGCGTTTTTCCCTTTCATTTTTATCGTAGAATCGTTAGAGCGTTCACAATATTAGGTACATGATTAGGGAAATCATTTGGGCAGCTTGAAAGCCCCATTTATGTAGACTATCACGACGTTTGATAGTTAGGCATGATTAAGACAATATTTGGGCACAGCTTGAAAGCCTCATTTATGTGGACGCAACGTTTGAAACCTCGTATATTTGTTATGACTGCATTGCTTGGGAAATATATTGGCATTTTTATAAGTTTACTGTAGCAGCTCTTTACCTATTTTGAAAATTATTGCTGAATTGACCACTTTCTGCTCTCTCGTACCTTTAATTGTATTGTTAAAATACACGAAGTTAGGGAATAATCACGGTTCATCATTCTATACGCTTATCCAGTTGTTTCTTATTCAACAGACTATATTGAGAGATCCATTTGGTAGCCCTTTACTGCCATTAGGACGCCGTCTCTTTCGTGGCCCTCGTCCCGAAGAACGTCCGTCTCGTGGCCCTCGTCCCGAAGGACGTCCGTCTCGTGGCCCTCGTCCCGAAGTACGTCCATCTCGTCGCCCACGCCCTTCAGGACGCCCATCTGGTCGCCCTCGTCCTTCAGGACGCCCGTCTCGTCGCCCTCGCCCTTCAGGACGCCCATTTGGTCGCCCTCGCCCTTCAGGACGCCCATCTGGTCGCCCTCGCCCTTCAGGACGTCCGTCTGGTGTTCCATCGCCTACTCGAGCTCCCTAAATACGTCCTTCATCCTTCGTCACGGACAATCAAGGGGTCCAAAATGTAACACACTTCTGTTTTTTAATGGAATTAAATAAAAATCATGAAATAATTATCTTGCATTGTTTTTTTACCGTATTTCTAGATCTAGTGCGAACTCGGTGAACTTCACTGCATTTGAGAATCAAAGATCATGATTGAAATTTTAAGCTTAATCTGACCTTGTATTAATTCAGTTAAATTCTTGTTTTCTTCCAAAGATTGTTTATTGCAACAGATGGTCCGGACTATTCAGTCATTCCTAGTTAAATTGAACTTTCGCCAATGGTGTTCTAAATATCACGAAGGTAGATCATCGCAGTGAAAGATTTACAACTGTGAGAAGTTCAGTGTAACTGAAGAGAAAGCTGAATTGAACAGGATTCGAACCCAGGACCTTGTGATGCCGGTGCAATGCTCTTACCAACTGAGCTATCAAGCCCGCTGGGAACTGTGGTCATTTTCCTTTCACTGCGATGATCTACCTTCGTAATATCCTTCTCCCCTGCGCAGTTCAGTATATGATTTTTCATATATTCTCATTCACGGTGTTATAAATGTTTGTTTGTAACTATCTGAACAAAACATATGTTTCGGGCTTGTTATCAAAGACGAATATCTTTTTATATTTAATCGAGCACTGCACAAACATAACATTTTCATGGACAAATTGTGGACAAATAAACATCAAATTCAGACCAAAAATAGATATATACTTTTATTATACGACATAGCATTTTAGAGTGCGAATACGCACCAAGACGAGTGCAAATATGAGACCATATTACACTCGTCTTAGTCCCCCTGACCGCGCGCTACGGAAACACTGTTGAAAGCCTATATTTTAGCAAAATAATGATGTCGTATAATAAACAGTTTATTCAGCGGAAAGTTGTCTAATACGGCTGGGCATTTTTACTCGTCAATGTTTATATTTTCTCGCCTTTATAACCTCTTTTTATTCTTGGCTCAAATTCGGTTCGAGTTCAAATTCGAGTTCTTTGAACAGAAGCCTTCCGCACACCGGTCGCACGCTCTGTACCACTGAGTGAGCAATAGGAGAGGCAAATAACTAGGTTTAAATGTGACAAACGTCTTGTTTTCTTGACGTTTTATATATTTATTTATTTTTGATATTGGACTAACAGACGATGAAGTAGTTTTTTTTCTAAATAATATTATTGAATGTTTTGTCCTTAAATTATCAAGAAACGTGAAAAGATTTACTCCGTCGTTCTGTAGCAAACTGTTGTATTTAGATTTTAGAGGTTTTATAATCATGAATATATTGTATCGCTTTCCAATGAGTCGTATGAAGTTATTTAAATTTATAACATAAAAAATTGTCAGAATCTCAAGTATCATATTTTAAGAAAAGAACAATGTGAATCCTCAGACTGACTTTCTTAACAAAATTAATACATCTCGTTTTCACGTACTATTTCAAAAACGAGTGCGAGTGTTTCATCACGATTTCCAAACATGAGAAAACAGATGAAAGCACGAGGCCGTAGGCCGAGTGCTTTTATTGTTTTCGAGTGTTTGGAAATCGTGATGAAACACGAAGCACGAGTTTTTGAAATAGCTTCTCAAACACAAGCTTTAAAAAGAAAGCACTAATTAGTAGTAGTTGACCCGCATTGTTTTCCAGTTCTTAATTTACGGTTACCAAACGTAAGCTCTGAATAGTAGTAATGAAATATTGTTTTACACTTCTAATTAACAGTTTCTAAATCCGTTGGGGAAACATGATCATGAAGTCAAATGTAAATGAGTGAAAATTTGTTATTTTGCATTTCGAGCATGATGATAATCTACTTTAATGCCCTAAGTCATTCAAGTATCTTGTAGCTCAATGGTAGAGCGTCCGACTGCTGTGCGGAAGGTCACAGGTTCGACTCCAGCTGGTAAAAAATTGAATTCTTTTTTTCTTTGAAAAATGCTTCCATGATAATTATTTAGTTTAAGTCTAAGTCATATAAATGCCACAAGAATAGTGATATCCAATAAAATTGGATATGAAGATCACTAGTGATCTTCATCTGTCATTTAATTGGATATCAAGATTCATGCACGTGACAAACGTTCCCGCCACATGGTCTTCACCGGGTATCAAACCTCATACACGTGACGAAATGCGTGGCTTCTCATAGGTTAATTAGCTCATGAATTATTAATGAGTTTGAGAACTTAAGTTTCAGCATAATTTACCAATTTACTTGTTCATTCGATTCCGTGGCAGTAGAGTTCTCCTTGCCTTTAACCCAATCAAATAGACTAACAATACCGGATGGGGAGGGGAGAAAGCGGCCCGCGTTGATTTCAAACTTATTTGGCTGCGCCGTTCGCTTTTGCGGCTTCGTCGCTTACGAATTTTTACATCGCGCGCCAACAAGACCGCCAGCTACGCAGGCTAAAACTTATTTTACTAAAAAAGCATTCAGGCAACATGAAAACAACAGCTGTGTTCTTCCCTATGATTGGCAAGTGGTTATTTTTCTATATATTTGTTATTTTTTATCTAATTTTTCCAAGGGATTCGTATCCGGCGGGGTGTCACGATTACATTAATTTTTGTTTACTTTTCTTAGATTTTTCTTTTCTTACTTTTTCAAATCTAACCGACTACCCAGCATGGGTAAAGTATCGCTTGGTAGCCACCCAATAAAGCTGATAAAAAAGGGAGCTGGGTGGGAATTAAAGGGGAGAAGCGTTCTGTGACAACACGAAGGAGACAAGCCGATTAAAGCGGAATCAAAGTAGGATTTTTAGCAGTCAGTGTCCCGCTCATAGTATGATGAAAAAACAATAATTATGCAAACAGGTAAGATTGTATTTTAATGAATTTTATTACTCTAACCATATACTAACTATAATCAATTGAAGCCCGGACGTTTTTAACCAATATTTGTAGTACTCCCATGGAATAAGGACTTGGCATGTCTACCAGTTTACGTCTCATGAATGAAGCCATCCCAACTGCTCCTCAGTACGACGAGGACGAGACGGACGTTCCTATGGACGTCTCGACGGACGAGGGCGTCGTGATGGACGCCTCGACGGACGAGGGAATCGCGACGGACGAGGGAATCGCGACGGATGAGGGAATCCCGACGGACGAGGGCGTCGTGATGGACGCCTCGACGGACGAGGGAATCGCGACGGACGAGGGAATCCCGACGGACGAGGGAATCGTGATGGACCTTCCGACGGACGGACCTTACGACGTCTTGCGGGGTCTGCAGCCTGTGGAATGAGAAACAATTAACAGAAAAAAGTGTTTTTAATTTACTTGTATGAAAACAAAAGCGTAGCTGCCAGTGGCAAAGCTCCCCTGCATGCCTTAACTTAAATTGATGTTGTTAAATAATCTCAGTTTAATTTCTTGATTATTACTTAATCCTCAGGCCTACATAAAAATTCATACACGCTACCTCAAGGTTTAAGAGCTCCTGTAGGCGAAGACCAGGGTCTCTTGATGGCCGTCCAGACCGATGAGGGTGTCTTGATGGCCGTCCTGATGGCCGTCCAGACGGATGAGGGCCTCCTGATGGACGTTCCGACGGATGAGGGTGTCCTGATGGCCGTCCTGGATCTTTCAATGCAGCCTGTGGAATGAAAAACAATCAACAGAAAATAACTTAAATGCATAGCTGCCAGTGGCAAAGACCCCCCCCCCCCCCCCCCCCCCCCCCCCCCCCCTGTATATAACTCATACGTCTTTAGAGTCTTCTTTTGCGTGTATGTTTCACTCCATAACTAGAACTAAAATTGCAGGTCGGATCAGTCTTCCCTGTTTTTTTTAGTTTTTTTTTGCGGAATGAGCAACATTAATAAACATAAAACATTTTAATGTTTACTTACAGTACAATATTCTAGAACATTCTATGAAACCTATTTTTTAGCTCACCCATTAGCTTTTGAACGAACGAACGAACGAACGAACGAACGAACGAACGAACGAACACGTCACTGATTTTGATTTTAATTTGTTAGACATAGAGGAATATTTATTTGTTATTTCTGACTGGCACTTAAAAACGCTTTTGAACAAACTGAACACTTTTGCAGCGTCAAAGGAGCTATACTGTCACGATATTTTAAGTCATTTTTGCGACGTGCAAAATCACCTTCAAATTGAAGAAAGCCTCAAAATAATAGTTTACTAGCTAACGGCGAACTTGAAAAAATTGGCCAATTTTTCAAGACGTAGCTCCTTTAAGAAAATTATCTGTACCCCGGCGAATACTGAACACATTGTGACATTTCTAAAATATTGGCTGGCAGTCCATTATTAGGATACAAAAACTGATATTGTCGAATTTTAGCACAAAACGTCTTACCTGCTCATTTGAGTAAATTACTTCTTCTAGAATTCTCTTTCCACCATCTTGCTCTGCTTTGATAGCACTGCCCAAAGACAGAACCAGTAGAACTTGCAGCAGCTTGTTCATTGGGCCGTTTGCGGGTTATTCTTGTCAGTCAGCCAAAACAAGGGGCCTCTCTTCCTCCCCTTTTGAGTATGTCCTTTCGAATTTAAGTTTTTCTTATATACACCCATCTCAGAAGAGGATAATATTATGATTTGCTGCATCCCATTGGGTGGCAGAGAGAAACAAAAGAACTTCGTAATTGGATCCGAGGAAGACACAAAAGTCAAATTATCTTGGAAGTTTCCTTGTAATTAAGTTGTGTTTTGTGCTTTTTGATTTTTTTGTATCAAGCCGGTCCCAGTAGGAGCTGAACAGGCCGAAGCCCTTGTCGGTATGGGCGGCGTGCGCGGCAGGGGTGTGTTTACCAATTATGTTCTAAACACACTCAAAATATTTCTTTTATGTCGCTAAGAATTATTAGAACAGGAACAAAAGCACAAGTGTTGGGAAATAATTTCCTCTCGGGGTAATAAAAGGAATTTTGAATAATATAGAGCCCACGTGTGCAAACAGTAAGATTGATGTTTGCATAGCTTGTTATGAAGCTCACTAGGTGGGTTATGTAATAAAAGTTTGAATGTGAGTTTTCCGGGGGGGGGGGGGAGATTCCCTATTAAAAGTGACGGGGGTGATCGTCGGAAATTTTGAAAAGAGCCCCTTAAAAATACCAGAATCTCGTTTCGTGGGTGTAGCTCAAATTCATTTTCACCGCTATGAGGTACCCGATTCTAAAACAAAACTAGTTCCTATCCTATTTTTCCTGGCTTAATACCCTAAAAATTACCTAAGCGGTACCAAACAACGAATTTTAACTCCTAAAAGTAACCCCACCCCCCCCCCCCCCCCCCTGGGTGTGGGCGTGCGAAACAAAAAGTGAACACAAGATTAGAACGTTAGCTACCAAGCGACAAAACAGTGAGTGTTCATAATACAAACAGGGTTGCGTGCACGGCCGTAGAATAATTACAACTCTTGGAATAACCGAGTAAGTAACTTTTTAAAACCAGCA